CAGCCCTTAACCATGACTCATGGTATTGCTGCTACTGCTCTGTCTGAGTATGGCTTATTTTATCATTTCAGACACTGTTGAAGTGGTATAATTTAAGTGTAGTTGGTCCTCCTTCTTGAAGACGTTTGCAGATCGCTTCCTGCAGATGCTCTGCATCTTCTACACTTTGACCTCAATGGGATAATGAGCTATTGAGAAGAGGTGCCTGGGTGACTCACATTTCCGCATCTTGGCATGGTCACCCACAGTGAAGGACATCTGCTGACATTTCTGTTTATGATACTTTTTCTACATTCGTGTGAAGAAAAAAAATTTTCAGGTCACTTTCAAGCGCTTTCCCACCACGTGCTCCTGCTGAGTCACCTGTTGCCCCCCGTTTAAGGGGAGACCCCCCTAGTGCGAGAGCCAAGTGATTACTTCCCAGGAATCCGTCCTTAATGATGCCACTTCACAGTGATCACTGCCATCTAATTGGCCCAATCAGTCTGCAGAATTGAAACGATTTGCCTGGGTGCCCCGTGGGACCTTGGCTGATGATACCAGCTTCTGTAGACTCTTCAGCCCTAGGTACTTTACAGCACAATGCATCCTGCCCTTTCCTCTTCCTATTCCACCAGTAAAGGCACCTTAGATGAGGGGTCAGTTTCACTATCCAGTATTTTGAAAATATCCCTCTGCTCACTAGTTTGTCACCTTCTGGCTCACTGAAGAGTGTCTCCTGTTATTAGGAGTTCATCCTCTGGGTAACATCTCCCGGCAAAGGGCGATGGGCCCCCTCTTTATTATATGGCTGTGGAAAATGTAAGCGGGAATGGCTGGTGCACCCTGTGCTACAAGCGCTTTTCGTTACGCATGCTGAGCAGCTACTCTTGTGAGGAATCCCATTATGACTGAACCTGTATTCCTCACTGGGCTCTGTGCTTAAAGCAAAAGTTGAACGTCTCACCTAATGTCCCAAGCGGTAAGTAAAGCGCCATTAAGGTAATGAAAACAGCCCCATTTTGTGGCGTGCCGTCTGCTGCAAAGGCCGTGACTATTTCCCGCTGTGTTAACGTGATAATTTCTTCAAATGTAACAGAAACTCTAAAAGGATGCCATGCAGGTGTGCCGGTGCAGAGGCCTTAGGTTTCCCCCCATTTAAAAAAAAAAAAAGAACAATTATTTTGGTGAGGGAGGTAACCTGAACTGTAGCTGGAGTGACGGCAAGTGTAAGAACACGTTTTCTCCGTTGATTATTACAGAAATCATCTTCTTAAGAACCTCTTCTCATACGGACCTTATCTGCTCTGTCGGAAAATGCCAGATTTGTGCCTGAGATCCTTCAGCTTGCACCTTCCACTAAACAGAACATCCATCTTTTGCTTAAAGCTACTTAGCCTGTCCAGGGCCCAAATAACACATATCTAATTGTTAGCTTTCATTCACCTGTTTTTGGTGTGAGGCTGACAGTAATTGGTCGTGGTGTCTACAGTTTACCCTGGGGAGTGTTTCTGCGGTCAGGGTAATCGATGGTCGCATCAAGTACCTCACACACCCCTTCAGAAGTCTCTCGAATCGTCTGTGTTTTAAGGCCGTGTCTGTTTTTAAAGTGAGCCCACACTCTGTTGGCCCTATAATTTTTGTATCATTTTACATTTCATTCCTTAGACTTGTCTAATCTGTTCTGATGGAAACATTGTCTCCTCGCAATAAACTGTGAATTTTTTTTGTTATCACTGAAGTTATATCACGAAAATGTGCAAGATAACTCCCAGGTTTTCAGTATGTAAATTAATTTCAAAGCCAAAGGGCTGTTGGATCGGGAAGAAAAAATATTGAAATTGTCCATTCAACACAGCTTGAAGTGTAACCTTGAATTTTCACATTCACTGGTTTAGCTCTTTTGGGAGTGAACTATCTCAGCTCTGCTGGCTGACTTTCTGCAGAAACCTAGGGATTTTTTTAAGGAGGCCTGAGTCATTATTGTGTCCGTCTTGCAGGGATGGGTTTAATACATTCTTTCTTCCCTGAAGGCTTTCTTGAACGGTACAGGTGACTATTTAAGGAGGACTTGCTGGAGATGTTTAATATCAGCTGTGTAGCTCTGAAGATTCCCTTGAGTGGTATGAATGAATATTGGGAGTACTGGGTAGCTCCTGTCTTCATCTTGTACGGGTTTAATGTTGTCTTGGCTTGGGACAGATGTGTTTGTCTGTAACTCAGGTTTGAACCTTTTTTGTAGGAATCCAGTGTCTGTAGGCATCTGTGTTTTAATAGTGCAACAAATTTAGATTCTCTTTCATGTGGAGGAATTCAGCTGAAAGTATGACAGCAGGTCCTGAAACCTGGTGGGTGAGGGAGCAGCACCCATCTGTATGGAGATACAAGGTGACCGGTGACCCAGAGTGTTGAAACTTGCAAGAGCTGGGGGCGAACGAAAGCTCACAGAAGTGTGCTTTTCATAAAAGGTTGGGAAGGTGAGTTTCCAAGCAACCCATGAAAAGATGGTCAGCCGCTGTCGATAAGCTGATTCAGAGGGCGAACCGAGCCCCGGAAACCTTGCCCCCCTTGTGCCAGGTGCCCGTGGTGTCCTGCCTTTCCCTGCCTCTACCTCTGCTCCCTTTTTATGATGATCTCACACACAGGATTATAAACCTGATTCCTCCAATCAGAGACGGTATACTGAGAACGAGATGGAAGGACTAACCTGCCACCCTCAGTGAAAAGAAATCTGTCTCTCCGCTGATATGCGTCACACACCGGGCCTGATACTATGGGACTATGATGGGGAAATATTTACAAATGGAAGCAAAGCCTGTAAAATCCATCGTTTCTTTTTATAACATATCTTGAAGTTGCCTTTCATAAACCTGCCTTTCATACCTCACCTCCTGCCCTAGACAAACATGTTAAGAAATAGTCAAATTGCTTGGATGAAAAGTGGAATAGCTACCATTTATACATCTCTTGTATCACCCTGGCTTTTCATTTGAGTGACGGTTTGGGTAAGAGAACAGGAAGGTGCGTGAAACTTCAGTTTAGTGTCACCACATTTAACAAGTGTCTCCAAATGGCTGGAATTGTCATGAAAAATGATTTTAAGAGTCTGATTTCTAGAATATGAGGTCACCAGTGATCCTGCTTAACAGCACACAAAACGACAACCTGGTTTGACAAATAGCAGTTGGTCTTGCTGTGCCGATAGCATTTCGCAGGACACGAGAACCTTTCCTGTCAGCAGAGCTTGGTACTGTATGGCGGCTTCCAGGCTCCATTCGTCTAATTCTCGTGTCTGAGTGCCACGCATCTGCGAAGCACGGTTACATCATTTTCCCAAGAGCCTAGTGCTACCTTCCACATCAGGACTTGACTTTAAATTGTAAATGTTGCCTGTGTGACACAAATGTAAGAAGAGGAGTGTGATTCATGAATAATGTGGTAAAGGGCCCGTTGGTGCCTACAGCATAAAGACCTGGAATCACTACCAAAGTGTTGCAGGTGTGGGAATGAATGGGTCTTGGTCTCAAGGATTCTCAATGATTCTAACTGTAGCGCTGAGTGACCAGAGACGAGGCAGACCCCGGAATGCAGGAGACTGATTTAATATTTTTAAAGCCTGGTGCACCCAAAGCCACAAGGGACAAGACAGGTGGATGGTCGGGTCGAATGCGGGAGGTCGAAAGCCGGGTGAGTCAGTCCTACGAATAAAGAAGAGACGTGGAGACGATGGGGCAGGAATGAGGACGGAGGCAGACCAGGACGGCAGGGCAGGGAAGGTAGGCAGGGCAGGCAGGAGCGGGCAGGCAGGCAGAGACGACCAGGGAAGCAGGGCAGGCACGACGGCAGGATACGGAGAGGAAGGCAGGGCAGGAGGGCAAGACATGAGACAGAGAGATGCTTGGTAAGTGTCATCTAGAATGGCAACAATACTTCGCAAACCTTGGGAGTTTGCTGTGAGGTTAAGAAGTCTGGTTAGATTGCGATCATCGACGGCTGCTGTGTCACCCCGCCCCTGGGGCGTGACACTAACCTATAATAATCGTTACCGAAGATTGAATAGTGATCCGATAGTGAATTACATAGACTAATGTTCACATAAAACACAGAAGATTTTATTCCATCATGAAAATTGTGTTTAGAAACTCATAGAATTGCACAGAATGGAAGCCCACACCTAACATAATTGGATGATCAGTAAGATTAAGAGCATGTGCACAAGATGAAAAATGCTTCAGAGAGATGACCTCTGCAGCATGTTTGTAGCACTGGGAGTGGACGCCATACTTTCAACATCTCTGAAAAGTTTCCTGGAGCGGACAATGGGCGGTTGTGTTTCAGAGAGGATTTCCATTTAGATGAACTCACTGCTGTGTCCCATTTGATACATACTGCATGATAAACTCTGATTTAGGCAGACCATCCTGGGCGCCTGTTGAGAGGGACTGTGGGCATCCTTCACACTACGGTCATGAGTGCGTTGAGAAAGATAGAGCCCTTCCTTTGGGTGACAGGCCATTGTTTGACTTAAGGGACGAGTTTGTCGATTCTGGCGTCTCAATCAAAAAGTCACTTCGGGGCCCCTCAGCCCCAAAAAACGAAAATAAACAGTTCTGAAAGTAGAGTCAAAATATTGTAGATAACTAGCAGAACATGCCACTTCAGCATATCCTAAATAAGGACGGTGTTTATTTAATATTTAGTGAAGTGACTGTTTGTGGCCAACAGGGGGCTCTCAAACTTGAGGGCACCACGCTTTCGTGGTTTGAGAGGAGGCAAACACCCGCCACTCTTTGGCATCGCTCTGGCGCTAACTGCATGGAATGCCATCCGAAGTGAGACAGTCGTATTTCACATGGCAATTATTAGACCTTATTCAACAGGAATAAGGAGCATTTGTCCTTGGGTTTTTTTTCCCTCAGGAGATCACGGGACAGATTTTCTCTGTGGCACAATGCATAATGGTGTAGTGAGAATAGGTACTTCTGTTTGATTTTATAGGCATGTCATTTTTCCTTCTCCAGGTATCCTGAGGACGAGATCCGTCAGAAGGTGGGCACGTTCAGGCAGATGCTGATGGAGAAAGAAGGGGTCCTCACCAGGGAGGGCTCTCACAGCCGTCAAATGTGAGTCCCGTAACACGCTACCTCCCAGTCCCTTCTTTTCACTTCACGCCCTTTGGCGGAGTGCTGCTTTTCCCTCCCAATAGCTGCGTTGCTAAGCGACAAGCAAAACGTAAAACTACAAGTGCCGATTTTTAATGCTTGCCGTCTTTTATTTTCTTGTTCAAAGATATGGCTCCCTGAGTACAAGGCCTTATATGCGGTTCACAGCGAATCTGCAAGTGATGTAGGGCTGAATTTACAAAATGTTTTTCTCTAAAGAGGTAGCAATTAGCGTATAGAGCAAGCGTGCGACTTTTCGCATTCAAGTATGTGATCTCTGGCTCACTGGCTCAGTGAGGGAGCTCCTTTGTGTCTCAATCACGTACTCATGAGTTCATTTATGGGCAAATTGAATCTGTGTTGATTATAGACATCAAACAGGGTGACTGAACACAATGAATGGTGCTTCAAAACTCAAAATAATGAGTTGATACTCTCATAAATGGCCTGTTTCGAAGAAGGCTGGAAAAACAGCCTCTTCTCTGGCTCTGTTCATTGATGGAATTTCCTGAACAGATTTGTACGGCCATTTTGATGGGATGTATTGGGTTAAAATCTCTTTTGTTTGCCCCCTCCCCCCAACTCCATTACAGCTTGACTTTTTGCTCTTCTGACATTACAAAGGGTCTTAGCAGCTGAAGAACATTCCTAATAAAGGTATAGCTCATACTATTACAGTGAAGCGTCAGGGCAGGAATTGGAGGTAAGCTAAGACAGACACTAAGGTCTTGCATTGCTAAAGAGAAATGTATATGTTTATGGGCTATGGGATTATAGCCACCATATGAGGTTTATTTGTGCTCGTCCATTCTTCCATATCAGCATTAGTCTGTCATGGTGAAGAAGGAGCTGAGCCAAAAGGCAAAGCTCTCGATTTACCAGTCGATCTACGTTGCTACCCTCACCTATGGTCATGAGCTGTGGGTAGTGACCATTTTGCACCAGTACGCTCACCACACAGTACCTAAAGTGGTGAATGGGCAGGAGAGAATTCACCAGATATCGGGATAATTAGGAGGCCAGATTTTAAAGGGCCACAGTGGACAATTTTAGCCAGGACATCAGGGTACCACCCTTACTCTTTCGAAAGATGCCCAGAGATCTTTTATTACCTCAGAGAGTCAGGACCTCAGCTATGCATCTCATCTGAACCACAACGCCATTTTAACAGCACAGTGTTCCCATCACTGCACTGGAACACCACAGAATGGGCTTCCCTGTTGACCACACCAACACCTTGTCCAGCAGCAGCCCAGCTTTCTTTGTTGGGCTCCTATAGTTCTGGCCTGGCCCAAACCTGCTTAGCTTCAGATGGAGTACCTAGTCTGAACAGCAGGTGGCATGGCTGCTATCAATTAATAACCTTGATGTTCTTCTTTGCAAACATAGTCCTGCCGCTGAATTCCTTAGGATAGTATCCCATTATTCCTGGATAAGGAATGCTTGTCACATGGGATTTGTCCTCCAGAGTAAAGAGGTTTCTCAGGTATCCTGGATGTATCTGATATCAGTTAACTTCGAGCAACAATGCAGCATAAAGGTCTCACAACTTTCTCCAAAAAAGAGCCAAAGGACTGGGCCATGATTAGAAGCTCAAAATTGAGCCATAGAATTTTGCGATGAAAGAGAAACAAAGAGTGAATGAACGGTGAGGTACAACAAAGCATGTCGCTCTGCCTCTGAATGGACCAGCAAGTCAGCGTGAGTCAGTGTGAGTCAGTGTGAGTCAGGCCTTGGACCAGTAGCTGTGATCATTCTAACAATAGATGACACACACTTTGTGGTGGCTGAGCATCGGCTTGCAACAGGATATGACACAGACAGTGTTAACCCATGAGGACAGGAAGAGCTGTTTCACACAGAGGCTTTCTAAGAAGAAGAAGTTGTGATGCTTTAGCATGCACCAACCAAACCACCATATCACAAATAACTGACCTCTCCAAAAACGGTTTGGGCACCAAGGAAACTATAGAACAGAGGTGGATGGGTCAGGTTCAGAAGTAAAGATCCAGACCAAGATTTCGTTTCAACCAACCAGATGAAGATAAAGAGTCA